GACCACCCTTACATGGAAATGACGAAATAAAAAAATATGGGTCTAATACTTTGCGATAACGAACAAAACTACCAATTTTTCCGAAATTCGGAGAACCACTATATCGTTTTGCTATCGAATGGCTGTATTGTGGGATATTTTGCCCTTACAGCCCTTCCCAACATTCGAAGTAGAATAAGAGCTTATTCAGTCAAAAATATGCTTCGTCAGCTAAAAGATTGATGATTCAGCTTTTAATCAGCACAAATTGTTTGTTGGGTTAAAGCACAGACAAACAGACATAACACTCACAATCACATTCATCGCAAATAATGTTTTAGTTGGGAATGCGCTTGCATTTGTCATGGTGGCGCCACTGAAGCATTGAGCAAGACACCACATTTCAAACTTATCAGTGATGCCTGTTCTTTTATACGTCTAGTTAGTAGATGTCAGCTCTTAAAAATGATAAGTGGTCAAGGCATCTCACTGGAGACACATACCACATCTGACAAATACAGAAAAAACATTGTTGAATATTACATCAAAACTGCTGTAACTGCATTAGTAATTCCCTTCCTAATATTACGCTGTACAATGTACACAGAATTCGAGAACAAATCAATTGGATGACTGTAATATTCTATCAACTTTTACCAGTTACTGATGTTCAATACTTCACCATGAATGACATTGATTGATACATATTATACTTTTTTGCTGTGTACACATTAAAGTGATAAGCGGTGGTAGAAAGGGCACTACTTAGTAACGAATAACCTCGTTTAAAAACTTGTTTCCAGCAAAAGAAAAAGCACACTAAACAAACAAAACAAATCCCTTAAAAAAAGTCTGAGCTTCTGTGAATTTTTCCTACGGATCCATATTTCAACAGAATTCAATCAATTCTATAGATCTACGGAAAATTTCGTAGAACCGACATCACCGACTTCCATCTGTTTTGTTTTTATTCAACGCGTTGACAGAACGAGGGAAAAGTAACTAGTGAAAAAAATGCATGAACGAGCGATGCTCCGGTTGCAAAACAATGCTTGGGAATGTGGATGATAGATGGTGCTAGTGCGCATGCAAAATACACTTGACGATATTTTTCGAAGAATTTTCTTCTAAGAGTTATGTCTGTTTGTCTGTGGTTAAAGCTTACATAGGAAGTTCATGTGTACACTAGTGCCACGTAGTGAGGAAGTTCTGTACTAATATGGCCACCATCTGAAAGAACATGTTCACCTGAACTACTTTTTTTTTTAATCTAGTTCCAATTAAGCTTCAATCGCGTTATCTTTACGGAGCCAATAATTCATTGTTAATTGTATAAGAAATTTCCATTTAATTCCTCTACCATATACTTGACAAATGCGCGTATTTCGTCTACAGTGTACAGTCTTCAACAAAGTTGTTTTGTATAGTAATTTTAATCTAAGTCAGAGATTTTGTGAAATTTATGCAATATTTCCCGAGTAGCACACTTTCACCACAATAAGTTACAGCAACTTGTTTATGACTGAAATAAATCGTATATAAGTTTCTACAATTGATTTGTGACAAGCGTGCTACTAGGGTTGGATTTTTGGCAAGCAAACGAATAGGATCGTTCCTTTTCCCATACATTCTCTCATACAAAATTCCCGTAAATCGAGATTAAACTAAATTTGTTTTATCTAGCTCGTTTATTTGGAAGGCTCAATCACGTTAGCTTTCCGGAGCCGATAATTCATTGTTCATTGTTTTTAACAAATTTCACTTATATCTACGTCTAGTAGGAGTTGGGCCGAATACTCGTGGTTTACCCGAGGTTAGAGGGGTTCATTGTTGAAGGATAGGATCAGGGGAGGAGCTTGAGAGTGGAGTTTCGTTGTCTCATCCGAGCGTTTAGTTAGTTTTATTTATTTTATAACGGGAGTGCGGTTCTAGCTTCGACTGGAGTTCGACCGGGTATGGTGACCTGTGAGCGACGATGAGACTCATCGAGACGGTGGGACAAGACAGACAAAAACGAATAAAGAGAGACAAAATACAAAGGAATTAAATTCTTATACTAGACATTTGTAGAAACACATTAACCGACTGCATATAGCAGATCGTGAACAACTTTGCTGAAGATAGTAACTTTTTAAATGGCATGGATCTCGAGATACAGCTTATACAAAAAGTTCATGTGTACATTGAAGCCACGTTGGGAGAGCAATCTGAACTAATAAGGGCAACATCTGAAAGAACTTGGTCAACTGAAAATTTTTGCTGATGATAGTAACCTTCTTTATGGCAAAGATCCCGCGATACAGCTTATACAGAAAGTCAATGTGCACACTAGCGCTGAACAACTTTGCTGACGACAGTAACCTTACATATGGCAAGGATCTCGAGATACAGCTTGTACAGGAAGTTCAACAGCACATTTACGCTGCTTAGTGAGCAAATTCTGAACTACTGTTCACCAACCCTTGGCCTAGATCCACTGAACAACTTTGTCCAAGACAGATATTCCAGGATCACGATGTATTTCATGTTGGAACCAATTAAGCCAAATCCCATATGGTACGCAGATTCCATATAGGGGAAGTGCATCAGTATTGGTCATAGGTTCCTATTTTGGCCTCACCTTAGATAACTGATCAAATTACAATATTCGTGCATTTTGTGGTTGAAATGTTTATGAACACGGGTGAATATGATTTGTGCCAACAAACTGAACGCAACTGAACGTATCAAAATCAGAGTCTAGCATTATGAGGGGCTTTATAACCTGAAAATTTTCTCGAAGATCTTATCTTATTACGCAGTCATTGATTTATAGCGACTGTAACATGATCACGACGCATGGTAGTCTAGTCGCATAGGAGTTTTGAGCGAAAACCCAAAACTTGATAACTTCAAAGAAAATATAACTCGAAAACGAAAAAAAAAATACATCACATCACTGATTTTTTATGCTATTCGCTAAAAAAGCCTAAATTTTCAAGGGAAAATATAAAAACATATTGCACAATCAATGAAAACTATAAAAAAAAAACAAATACATTCAATGTTTTTCAAAACAAAATCCAAATTTTTGAAACAAATCAGTTTTTTGGACCACCCTAACATGGAAATGGTAAAAACAGGTGTAATATTTTGCGATAAGGAATAAAACTACCAATTTTTACGAAATTCTGGGAACCACTATATCGTTTTGCTATGGAATGACTGAATACTGGTGTACCTATAGTTGCGGTATAGGGGTTCCCAAGCAACACACATGTTCTATAGCAGTTTATGTAACCTTTATATGACTGGTGTTGGTTGTAAAGCAGTTTACTCAACATATTTCTATGAATTTGTGTTACTTGGGTTATGCCGGAATAATGGTGGAAAACCAAATATATTTACATAGTTGGAGATGCTTAACGTCAGATATCTTAAAGATAGATGAGGAGATGAAAGTATAGAGTTGATAGTTCTGTTAGAGTACGGCAGTATATGTAGAGAGTAGAAAGCGAGCAAAGGTCAATTTTGAGGAAGGTTACGAATCGGGTTGATCATCTCCTTTACCAACACCTCTGTTGGGGAGGGATTGTGAGAGGTATCTCCCCCCCGCCACCACTGGCAAAAGAGATTATCGCCGAGGGGGAGTTTTTTAAAGGAGATGATCAACCCGATTTGTTTCTTCCTGAAAATTGACCTTTGCGTACTTTCTACTCTCTGTATTCAATTTTCACACTGCCGTACTATAATGGATCCATCAACTCTATGCTCTCATTTCCTCATCTGTCGTATATAATGACCACTTTAAGTTTGATATCTGACGATAAGCATCTCCAACTATGTAAATCGTTAACTTCACGCATGGAGTAATACAAACATGATTATTTAACACAGATAAATTTATTTTCATCGGTGATTCTGCAAAAATAAAGTACATTTGCATATTTTAAACTTTAAATTAGCCCAACACTTACAGAAAAACCATTAATCTTTCTTACGATGTTTACTCCATTCCACCTGTAGTGTTCCTATAATAGTGGAATCCATTAAAATCCAATACGTTCCACTATTATAGGAATCAATGTTAGCAACTACTGAAACAGTGTTCTTATTAAGGTGAATGTGACCAAGTAAGTAAATTAAAATTTCAAAAATGGTTTTCTCTGAGACATAATTTCAGATTGCAAAAAGCTCTCATCGATGTTTTCCTTTTATTATTAAACACAAAAAAACGAGAACTTTTTCCAATCTGAAGTGATGTCTCAGATAAAAACACGTTTGAAATTTTTATTTACTCACTAGGTCACTTTCACCTTAATGGAAGGCTAGTTAAAAAAGATGTTTACAATTTAATCGCATTGTAATATTTTTCTAGCTAAACAGAGATTGGAAACTATGGATTGACGTAAACAAATTGAATGCAGATCGGTTATTTATTTTTAAATATTTCCATTTCAGGGAAATGCTATTGAAGCTGATAATCTAACGGCAAAATATAAACTGTATCAGTTCCTTCACTACTGGCTCACCTACCCTACTGTAGGAATTAGGCATTCATTTTAATTATATAATCATATATAGAAAGAAATCCTACACCTGCATCGGGCGCAAAAAAATGGAATACAAAGATGGCCATTTTCTCGTCTTGATTATCATTTTTTTTTCATCTGTCACCACTCGTTTTTATCGGCTGTCACTGGTCCGTTATTGTTAACTAAACAATTCGCCCGAAAATAAGCTGCAAAGAAAGAAAAAAATCCTCATTAGCATACATGAGCCACCCCCGCACCTGCAGCAATCAATGACCCGCGAATACGACGACCAAGCAGAATCTCTCACAGGTACAAAGTTTGATGCCATCGCTCGTAAAGATACCAAACCAACTGCGCTGCTGAGACCGGTCTATCGTCCCTCGGTCTCTCAGAGATTGCGTTCTCTCATCGGCCACAGCAGGCGGAAGGCTATAAAAAACGGGCGGCACCGGGGCAGCGGCGTTTAGTACCGTGTCGATCGCGGTCCGGTGTGTTTAGCTCTTTCGATAACCTGCCCAAGTCGCCATGTTGTGGCACTTTCTAGTGCTGGTGCTGGCAGCCATCATCGCGGTGGCTGGTGCTGCCAATCAGGAGCTGGAGGAGAGCGAACTTGCCGCCCTCAAGTACGTCAACGATCTGGAACGGGAGATTCTGGCCAGGAACTATGAAGCCACCGAGGCTTCCTGGGCGTACGAGTCCAATCTGATCGAGGAAAATCTGAAGCAGCGCAACGAGATCCAGACGCGCAATGCCAACTATTTCAAGGTAGGTCGTGGTAGTTGAGATCGTGAGTGGGATGAGGGAAGTTCTAATTAATAATTGACCGATCGATACCAGAATACTTTAAGAGAACAAAGTGAACAAGTGCGCGCGTAATTAGCATTATGGAGAGGATGATTGAGCCGGTTCAATCGAATAATAGAGTTTTCCGTCGGGTGGAATTTTAAAGAGAATGCTGAGGAGAAGGATTTGACCTGTTAGTGGGTTGGTGTTGGATGTTGCTACCCAACTGGAAAGGAAGCAAGAAGGAAGATGAACCTGAATTTCTGGTTTTCTGAGATTAAATGAAATTTCGTTGCTTTAGTGTTTCGTTGCGGTGCAAGCGCGAGTGCGGTAATTGTTCTGGATGTTGCGAATTGGGTTGTACTTATACGGTTCGTTGGGCAGTGCTTGTTTGGGAGGAATTGAAAATAAATGTGGATATGTTCGCAGGAAATGGGTTGACGTACTAAATACTTGTAATATAGTAGGTATAATAGTGTATGCTAATACGGTATAATCAGTTCAACGGCAACAACTCAACAGCACTAATTGATTGGTTCAACTGGGCGGCTCTGTTTTGCTGTTTTCTCTCCCATGCCGCTAATGGAGTAAACTTCATCAATACCAGTATTCGGCGCGAGTTACTTGTACATTGTTTTCTTTACTATTTCCTATTTGCAGCTTCAAGCTTTATTTTGACTTTTTCTAACGGGTGAACGTGAGGCAGGCGTTGATTGTTCTTTTTTTTACTTTCCATGTGAGATAGGCAATAGTTTGTACTTAGTTAGGGGATCTGTGGAATTCATAGGGGATAATTTAGGTTTGTGCTGAAAAAATAGCAATAATTATCAATTAGAATGAATTGGCAGAAGTACCATTGTTTGATATATTCACCAAAATTTTGTAATTTTCTTTTGATCTTTTGTAAATGTGTATCCCTCTAAGTATACGATCATTTATTCACTCTTTGAAGTGAGTGAGTTGTATGTATCAGATGTTCAAGTAGTACGTAAAAAGAGTTGATGGGTTTTCAATCGACCAATAGACCTATTAAAAAACCAATCTTGATTAATCCTTTAAATTTGTCGAACCTCTTAACGGAATTCCTTTATGAAGAGCTTTGAGTGGGTTGGTTTATTTCCTTTTAATTCCGTTATAATTGCTTATCTTTTGACAGATACGCGTATTTCGTCTACTACTTTCAGACTTCATCAGTGCCAAGTACCCAACACCAACAGTGGTGTTGAGTACTTGGCACTGATGAAGTCTGCAAGTAGTAGACGAAATACGCGTATCTGTCAAAAGATAAGCAATTATAACGGAATTAAAAGGAAATAAACCAACCCACTCAAAGCTCTTCACAATCTTGATTTGTAAGCTCATTTCCCGGAAATTTTTGGCTACCTTGGAATCGGGAAATAACTGATGGCTGATGGGAATTCCTGGGCATCGGGGAATAATTTTGACCCGTGACCAGATCCCACTGCACGAGCTGAGTCAGATATCAAAATATTATTAAAATTGTATCAAATTATGTTTTTAAGATAATGTTGATAACAAATTTTGATAATATTTTTTTAAATTAAGGTTGAATTCATAATTTAATAATATTTCACTGTTTCTTAAAATTATATTGAAAACATAATTTGGTATTTGATGAAAAGAACATTTACACTTCGCACTAAAAGCTACTATTTTAAACTTTTACTTTCTTTTGAGTCAGAATAAACTTGTTATCTAATCAATTCTAGTAGTTACGACATAATGCAGTGAATTTTGTTAAAATAATAGCTCTGTGGATGTAAATCAGGATGCTTGCTGCTTATTTCATAAACATCACAAAGACAGTTATGATTTTTGCAGTAATTTTAAAACATTTTTTTATTATCGTTGATATTAATCTACCTGCGAGTTGAATTTACAAATTGATATAACATTGATGTCACCCTGTTCGTCTTTATTACTTTTACTAATGCATTGTCGAATATTGTTATTTATGTTGCGTAGGCTTGGTCGATTTCTCAGCTCATATTTAAACATGTTGTATTAAAACTTTTCAACATTCAGTTGTCTCTTAACATTGTCATTAATGTCTGTTAAAATATGTTCGATGCGAATATACAAACTTAGAAAAAAACACCGACTTCGGTAATTCATTTACCGAATTCTCAACAGCTTAACGGCCGGTAATGTTTTCGGTAATCGAGAACATTACCGAAAAATCTGTAAACTGGATGTACCGAACGATCGGTAACGTTTACCGATGTGCATTGCTCGATTTTTAGTCAACTTTACCCGAGAACTGTAATTTTGAGGACGATATGCAAATCGAAAATTACCGAGAGATATGTAATTTTTAAAAAAGGTTAACCGACTCAACTGTAATTTGCTTTAATATTGTCTCAAGGTGGCGGTCACTGCAACCCATGCAAAAATTTGGCTGCCGTCGGGATAAATGTGTTAGTGTTGCAAATTGCTCCACCAATGAACAAAAACAAGTTTTTGTCGGATGGATTCGGCGATACACTGAAAACAGGGAAGCATTGGATGAAGATTCCAAATGCTGTTTTCAGATCGTCGCCAACGGGAATGGAACTTGGACCGACAGAAAAAAACAAGCAACAACATCGGCCATCTGTAATTGGTATTTATTTAGATAACAAAAATTAATTACTTACGGAAAATATCTACGATTCGCTCATCTTGGTGTTGCATAACAGCCTCCATACTTTCACCTTTTTATTTTTCACAAACACGAACGTTTTCAAAGTCGATCGAAAATCACAATATGGTGGATTAGGCGTTTACCGAGACCGTTACCGAACTCAGTAATGGAACGCTTTGTTTACCGAAACTTCAGTAAAATATTTTACCAATGTCAGTGATGAAGCTGATTTACAGACCTGCCGGTAAAAATGTTTACCGTTTTTACTAAATTGAAATGAAATTACCGATATCCGATCATTTCATTTACAGTTTTCAGCAATAAAGCGAGAAAATATCGAAACATCTGTAATTTTTAGCATTACCGATCTAAAACGGATTTTTTTACCGAACTCAGGGTCTCTGTTTAAGTGTGTAGTAGAAATTTTTAATTTAGCAAATTATTAGATAGGAATAATAGTGTGCCCGGCCAGCCTCGGGATTCAATATTAGCTTGAATTTATGCGCCAATTAAAAATAAAGCATGCTATATTGTACGTACCCTCCCCCCCCCCTCTTATCTAAGTGGCTACCTCTTATGACCTATGACCTCCACATGCCAAATTTGGTTCCATTTGCTTGATTAGTTCTCGAGTTATGCAGAAATTTGTTTCATTTGCATAGGAGGTCGTCGTTTGCATAGGGGGTGTCGAACCATCATTGGGACCCTGTCCCAAAAACCCCTGCATACAAATTTTCACGCCGATCGGTTCAGTAGTTTCCGAATCTATAAGGGTCAGACAGACAGACAGACAGACAGACAGAAAGAAATTAATTTTTATATAGGGGAAATGGATGTAATGTCGGCCTAAATGTCCCTAATTTGGGCCCATACATAAATTCAGCAGTCGACTAAATTTTCAATAGCGATCAAAATTAAGTACCGTCCCTATGACGCGTTCATCTAGATAAATTTCATAAATAGTAGATTTTTAGCGATGAGCTTAGATCCATAGGCCAACATTAGAGCCATTTCCCCTATATAGATATTAAAATAATAGAGTTGGTTGGGAAATGCTAACATGAAGCTTTAGTGTGATAATTTATTAGCTAGAGGATGATCTTTTTTAGAAGAGGGTAGGTGGATAGTTCCGTTAGAGTACGGCAGTATGAAAATTAAATAGAAGTTGAAAATGAGCGAAAGGCCATTAATGCGACAGTTTTTAAAGATAGACGCACATTTTTGCCTAACCCGTACGATGTACGCGGAGACTTGAAGTATGGAGACAAGTCTACAGGCAAAAATGTGCGTCCCTCTTTTGCTCATAAACTGACTGCGGCTGTGGAATATTTCTAGCGACTTTTTCATCACTACCTAAAGCCCCACGTTGCGAGAGCATTTCCAGTTGATGGTGTGTTATAATGTAATTCTTCTTTACCCAACTATTGTGTTGCTCCTCTCGTCATGACCAACTTGGTCATCTCAGAGAGAAGGCAGTAGGGTGGTTGTTGCGTGCTGTACCATCATCAGCATTGTTGACGGTTACTTCCACCTAGAGTTGTTACATTCAAAGTGTTGTTATGTTACTTCATACGCGAAGTTAGCGATTTTCAGAGTTGGTTGGAAAATGCTAACATGAAGCTTTAGTGTGATAATTTATTAGCTAGAGAATGATCTTTTTTAGAAGAGGGTAGGTGGATAGTTCCGTTAGAGTACGGTAGTATGAAAATTTAATAGAAGTTGAAAATGTTTGTTTTTTGTGTGTTTCCTGCCATAGGAATATCGATTTCTTATATTTTTTATTACCACCGAAAATACTAATATCAATACGCAGACATTGATTTGTTATATTTTTTTTTATTCTTTATATAACATTTACATCTCCTTTTGTTATTATCTAGATTCTTATCTAGATTATCTAGAGTACTTATCTCGACCACACGATTAACTCGACCACACGGTTGTCAAAACATGCTATCAAGAACACTTAATAACACAAATTATCAAATTCTGTTTTAAGTTGGTTTCATTCTCTGCTCGGGTGTCTACTCATTTTGATGAATACAATTATCTGAGCTTTCCAGGTTTTGCTGGTCTACAACTGTAAATTTTCAGAATTTTCCGGGATGAAATGTAAAATTAACTGGTTATATAGGGCCTCCTTCAGCTGTTGGTAAAGACGCAACTACAAAGCAAGAGATGAGGTGTCTGCGTTCACTTCCCGGTCCGGTCTAGGAATTTTTCGGGTTGGAAAATTTCTCGACTTTCCTGGGCATAGAGTATGATTGTACTTGCCACACAATTAAACTAATGCAAAAATGGTACAGGCATCGAAAGTTCTCAATTGTGGAATGCTTAT